TCATAAAGCCCATAATTTTTGAGTTTTTACTTCCATTTTCTCATAGCTCATGTATAAACTCTGAGAAAATCTTGTTATGTTCACTTTCAAAATGTATTCAAAACCTGTGCTTAGGTTTTAAGGCAGAGTCTTTGAGGCTATTAAACTCTATCATTTTGGGGCAAGACGTTAAACATCCAAAAATTTCTAAGAGGAAAATCAAGAAGTATTATTTAGTATTCTGATTGTGTAACTATTCCTGGAGAGAATATCCCATTTTTCCAGAATGGAAAGGGGAATAACAGAAGGACGAATTCTGTCTAAGTTTGTGGTGGTTTGAAAGAAATTGGTTCCCAAAGGGAATGGCACTATTAAGAGGTGTGGCTTTGTTGTAGTAGGTGTGGCCTTGTGGGAGAAGTGTGTCACTGTGAGGGTGGGCTTTGAGGTCTTTTTTCATTCAGTGTGCCACTCAGTTCACTTGCTATTGCCTTTGGATCAAGATGTAGAATTTTCCAGCACCATGTCTACCAGAAGCCACCATACTCCCAGCCACCACGCTCCCCACCATGCTCCCCACCATGCTGATAATGGACTAAACCTCTGAAACTGTAATCCAATGCCTCAACTAAATGTTTTCCTTTTTAAGAGTTGCCATGGTCATGTGTTTCGTCACAGCAATAGAAACCCTAACTAAAACAAGGTCTATATTGGTGAACCAATGATGTAGTTTTTGGATCATTTACAGGAACATGGGTAATGGATTATGTACAGAAGGATGGGTGATTTGGGCAGCTACATCACTGCACTCTAACTGACACTGAACTTTCTCATGGAAGTTGTGTCTTTGGGTTCCCCTGGGAAACTTTAGATAGCTACACCAATGAAATCTCATGTCTTAATGTTCTAGTTTTCTGGCTGCTTTACCCATGTTTTCTCCCATCTGGACATGTATCCTTGGCTGTATCCCAGAAGTTCTGGTACCATGTGCTCTCATTTTCAAATATCTTCAGGAATTTTTAATATCCTCCCTGATTTCGTCAATGATATACTATTTTTTTTCATTATTTTGGAAACAGATTCTCTGCTAACTCCAAGTTCACTGTGTAGTTGAGGATTCCCTGTACTCGTGACCCTTTTGTTTCCACTCCCCTAGTGAAAAGATTATATATAGCCTTATGAAACCATATCCATATTTTTGGGAAGAAAATTCAGAATTTACTAAATTCAGTAAAATTGCCTTGGACTCTGAAACACAGTATCAAAGGAAATAAAATCTCAAGAGAGCTGAGTAAAGAACTAACCTTTAAGTTTATCAGAGTTTTTTGTATCTGACTAGATACTACACATACACATAAAGTTTGAGCCTAGGCATCTACAGTTGGAATGGGAAAATAGCACTTTCATAGCATTTGATAACAATTCAAAATACCTAAGAATAAAATTGGCGTTGGCTACAGAGCTTCCACAGAGAGAAATGATAAGATATTGAAGACATAAAATGATATGTGAACAAGTGGAAGAAAATGCGTTCCACTTTTGTGATAGAGAAGATGACATATTGAAATATAAATCTACACAAAGTAATATATACATGCATACAATACATTTTATATTCTAGTGTCTTGTCTTAAACTGGATAAAATTTTATCAGATTTATATAAAACATTAATGATGGATATAAAGTTTACAAAAATATAAGGGAATCTTGTTTCATTGGAGTTTTGAATTGATTACAAAACAAATACAATATTTTGGTGGTGAACATTCTCCATTCAGGGGACTTGTCTGAGTTGAGATGAATACTTGAAACCAGGGTGGTTAAGTTCCCTTTTGGATCTATCTGTTATTACAGCATGCTTGTCTTCATGAGATAAAAGCACCCAAAGCCTCCCCACAAGCCAGAACGGCTGAGAACATTAGAAGGTTTATAGTATGGACAGTTCCCCGAGAACAGTACCATTGTAGGAAGCATGGGCACGCCACTAGGTGGCGGTAGAAAAACACTGTAGGCCAGCATCAATACTGTGGTTCCCTTCTGGAGGAAAAAAGTAACCCAGTTCAGTGAACTTAAGACTATCTAGCTGTGGGTGAATGTGGCACACCTGGAAAGTTCATGCTCACTCTGCTTCTTACAGGGTGTGGTATGGAGATGTGCATAGTTTCCAGACATTTCTGGGCAAATCAGGGTTTATGTGAGAAAAGTGAGTGACTGTCTTGTTAATGTTACTACACAGAGATTAACATCATGGTTAATACAATCCACGTGGTGGAGGTCAGCACCATTGTTGGCAGTTGTATACCTGGGAAGTGAATGCAGATCAAGAAGAGCTGGCAGCTGAGACCTGTATGGGGAGGAAACTTACAGTGCATAAAGTGAGATCAAGCTCAACACATACCTATCACATTTCAATGAAGCATACTATAGGTATATTACAAAGATAGTAACAATGATGTCTTGCACCTGAAAGCGCAACACAGTGCCCCAGTTTGATGGGCAGGAACCAGGGAACAAATCCATCACTTATGGAAAAGTGTCCAGGTTCTGGATAATGTGACAATGGAACTTCAGATTGAGCTACAGTTATGTGAAGGCCTTTTAACAGTCTTTGGTTAGGTAGTGATATTACTTGTGTCACTAAGATAGGAATAGGAGGATCCTGCAATTTGAAAACACTTCCATTCACTCAGTGGGAAGTCAAAGCTAACTGTTGTTGTGATGGTTTTATCTTGTGACCTCCAGTCTTTGCCTTTCAGAAGTCAAGAGTTTGTTCTCTTTGTATCATTCATTCGAGGAACTTAAAACCCTTGTGTTTGCTGTTGGACTCTGTAAAGTTTCCTGTATTTTCCCAGTCCGGTCAGGGATAAGAGATGCCCTCCATATCAACATCTGACAAATATGACGTTTGACAAATATAAGAACATATGGCCTACTTATTTCTTTGTCAAATTTGTGTGTTTCTGTTTTATTTGAAAATGTTTGACACACTTGCCTCTTGTTTTGGAGCCTCTCTTCCATGGGAGCTGTACTAACCCTGGAGGAAGGAGGCCTTATATATAAGTACATGGCTCCCCATGAATATGGAGGTGTAGTTCGGGGTGCTCCATAAGAAGTGTTAAGAATTTCTTCCCTGATCACTTTCTGATATGATTGGCATTTACTAGATGACGTTTCTCATCTTTGCTCTGGTGTTGTCTTGGATGCAATTATTTTAATTTTCTTCAATGGCTTAGAGGAGGTGGGTCTTCAAGCTTATTAACTATGTGATCACTTGCAAAGATACTAATGCTAGCAAAGTGGAATTATATCTTTGCAAGGGGTCCTATAACGGTCCACTGGGGTTCCTTTCAAGCAGTGTGTTGACATTGGGACATATGATGCCATCTGTCCTCGGTTATATAATCCATTCTGTAAGATAGAATGACTTTTAAAAATGGGAGTGGGAGGAAGTGGATGTGTTACATAGAGACAACATCTTTGTGAGCATGGGACTTTTAAAAAGTATTGCTTGAAAACTTATGAGGGAAGACATGATGGCTTGTAAATTTAGAACTTAGTAGGGCCAAAGCCAGAGTTAGGAGGGAGATCCATTTATGGGATTCTCTGCTTGATTATCATCTATATAGTAAGTATTTTCTTAAAGATATGGTGTGTCTTCCAATTAAACATGCTTCTTGTGGGTGATCAAACAGGTCAAAATTCCATTGTATGCCTCATTTGGAGACACAAATTTATAAAAACAGGGGAGAGGGGTGATGAGAGTCTATAATATCTGCAGCTACACAGTAGTACATTTAGATTTAGCAAACCCTTAATTATTGAGTCCTTACAGGCAAGCTGTGTAGACTAGGAAAGAATCCTCTTGTCATAGCCTGACCCTATCATTGACATCTAATGTGGGATACAATGGGAAAATATAATTGACTCACTGTTTAGAATACTGCATCTAGTCATGGAGAATATCCCTTCTCTGAGAAAGCCACCAGTGCTGAGTTTCATTACAAAAGACATATATATCAATGGCTATTTTGGCTAGAGAATGTCAACAGGGGTGACCTCTGTGTCTGGTCCAATTATCCAGAGCTTGGATATCTTTATGTTTCCGAGTATCTTTAGAAAAGATTAACCAGCATAAAAGAGCACAGTCATGGCTGGATATTTTGACAAGGAGTAAAATCAGCTCAGATTACCAGCAAGTCATGGTAGGTTTGTTTATGACTGTGGGACTATGACCTAAATAATATAAAATAAATTTTTGATAAAATGTATGCCATGATATTACATAATCCTCTGGTATTGTATGGGGAGAGGCTATGTAATCCAAATGGAATGAACAAATATACTGATACTGCAGATAGGTCCCTCATTAGAGTGTTCCTTGTAATAAAGTTATATATCTATATTTGGTATACCAGGCCATGTCACTAGATCATTAGCATTTATCCATAAGCAATTTGAAAACACAGGCCTCTTAAAATATCTTGGAAGAAACAAGGGAATTGCTTGAGTTGTTTCTACAGAATGAAGTTTTTTGTATGGTACCTTTGTATGGATTGGAATCAGGACACACCAGAGTTTAGTTGGAATTCCATCTCTCATCTGCAAATTCCATCCTGTGGTACAGTGGATCTGTTTATATCCCAAGGAACTCACAACCTTTGCAGACCGACTCCCCTCTTGGCTCCCTTAAAAGCCTTCTACAGAGACTGCATTCTCTAGCTTCTTGGAGCTCTAATCTTTGAGCTTCCAGGGATGTTGGATGCTCTTCTCACATTTATCTTGCCTTACCAGATCACATGTATATTTTCTTGTTGTTTGAAGATCAGGAGAAACACTTATTGATAAAACCCTCCTAATTGCTACTTCTCTATAGGGTAAGAAACCTATCCACACCTACTCTAGAAATGTCAATAAAATAGCTCTTATCTCTTAAATACTGTGCTGTGCACAAATATCCAGATTAATCAGTTTGAGGGCTTAATGGGGTAGGAGGAGGTAAAACATTCAAGGTCTATACACAGGAGCAGGTGAGACTGAATATTTTTATTCATAGAAAAGAGTCAAAATTTAGTACTTTTGCTCCCTGGTATACAGACATAGCTCAAACTGAAGGTGAGTTTCTAAGCAGCATGGGTTGAAGGTGATGTATTCAGCTATTGGTATATGAGAGTCCAGCATCGCACACATGAGCTTCAAACAGAGCTCATAGCAAAGGCCTCCATGTTAATACTCATCAAAGAATGGGAAGCTGGGGTGAGCATTAAACCTGCAATGAGAAAGAACAATGCACAATATGTCTAATGACTGTTTCTAATGTAAGATTTCTAGAGCTATGCCACTGAGGCTCAAATGGAAAATTTGATTTTCTGATAAGCCATATGACTCGTGTTATTATTTTTAGAAACAGTACTTTATAATAGAGCTAAGGAAGAACAAATGAGCTGTTCAAATATATTTTCCTTGGAACTTAACACATAGAGAACCCAGAGCCAATCATTCAAATATATACATTTTTCTATAATGCAAAAAGACGACCATTTCTTTTTACTGTAAATTTTCAATGAAGCAGAAACTGATTTTGCCTTGTTTTGAATTGGGAAATTCCAGTTATGTATTTGACAATAATGATTACTTTTGGGGGACAGCGAGATGGCTCAGCAGGTAAAAGTGCTTGCTGTCATCCCAGGTGACTTGAGTTAGATCCCTGCAACCCACATGGTAGCAGCACAGAATCAACTCCTGCAAGTTGTCCTCTGAACTTCATATGCGAAATATGTGCATGCACACATATACACCAAATTAAAAAGTAGTAAAAAGGTAAAAACCACTCTTTTTTTTCCCAAGACAGGGTTTCACTGTGTAGCTTTGCGCCTTTCCTGGATCTCGCTCTGTAGACCAGGCTGGCCTCGAACTCACAGAGACTACTCTTAAATGATAAAGTAACTGATAGCACTTAGTGTCAGTTGTCTTCAATCATTAATTATTTACTAGCTGCTTATGATACAGGGTATGCTATATCATCCAGAACTGGAAGGAATTTCATTTATGGGACTGAGGTTCCATGTCCAAGGAATTTGCTCTATAGTAGCATGAAAGTGATAAAGTGATTTATCATTTTATTTATTTATTTTCCGGAGATGAGGACCAAACCCAGGGCCTTGCACTTACTAGGCAAGCGCTCTACCACTGAGCTAAATCTTCAACCCAGATTTATCATTTTAATAGGAGCAAAAATGACTGATTGCTTGCCATTATTTCCATCTCATTGAATAAGTGTGCTCACTTCATTATTTTTCTCAATACTATTAAAATATTAGCAATATTTTGTTAATATAGGTAATAACCCACTTTACAATTTTGGATTACATGTAATTGTGCATTCTAATACTTTCTCTACATTATTGTGCTTAATTTGAATTAATTATGAATAAATTTTCACACAAGAAGCAATTCCTTGCTTAACTTCTTTTATATTATGCATCTTTTTGTAAATTATATAGACTTGTAGATAACATAAGGAGAATAATGATAGTCTGTTGAGTAAAATAGTGTTTTATTTACAACAACAATTGAGAAATTCTTGAGAAAAATGTTTGTCTGAGTCCTGAACACACATAGAGTGTAAAGGAAATAAGATGCTTGACATTATTAAAGCCATTAAATTAGCAAGATTCAATAAGCAATTGCATATGAAGAGGGGTGAGAGCTATTGACCCGTACCACAGAGATAATGGACTTGCCTTTGGTCTGTAAGAAATTGAGCAGATTTTTGAGATGACATTGCAAATTGATCATTATACTATTTGAAAATGTGACATTGAAATACCCAGAATTTATATCCATAGGATATAGATGGAATCAAAAAATCTCCAGGAAGGATATAGACTCAGCAATGATGTTGGCTGACCCAGCACATTCCATGCAACTGATACAAGAGGGAAAGGTGCATCAGATCAAGGTGACCCTGCTTCCAGTGCATCAGACCAAGGTGACCCTGCATCTACTCCCTTTTGCTGTGTCCAAGAGTAAAACTCTGAGTCTAGAAAGAGAATTCTAGAAATCTGTGTTTTCTCTGACTCTGTTCTTTGACTTCCTCATAGTGAGGAAACTTTTGACAGACATGCTATTAATAAACTCTCCTTAGAAAATAAGTGGAGAACCATCAAAAATTATAAAAGTTATAAAAGTTACTTACATGTCAGCAGGAAAGTACCGAAAATTTCTATTCAAGCCATCGAGGATTTTCATGTCATCTGAAGCCAATTGGAAATCAAAAGCCTGTTATAGAGGAAGAGATATTATTTTAAATATATATTTATGAAGAATATTTGTCATTCTGAGACAATCTGAGGAGTTGCCCCCAATTCTTAAAGTTATCAAGCAAAACACTGAAAACCAGATTAAAAAATTAAATGGAAATATATCATCATACATAACATGTAATATGACAGGTAAAGATTTCAAAAGAATCTGGAGAAGAAGGAAAGCTGACTTGATTCAGAAGAAATAATGTCATGACATGAAAGATCCAGAGAAGTGCAGAGACAGTTTTGAAAATATGCTTCAGAAATTTTCATGGATACAGTTGCATTTGTATGTTCTACCCATGAAGAATTAGGAAGAGAAAAAAATCATTTTCAATATTACTTAAAGTAGGAATCGCCCAATCATTAATGATTCCTGGTCAAAGGACTCAGAAGCTGGCTGGAAGATGACTCATTGTAGATAATCCCAATCAGTTTTATCTTGAAAAAAGATGATCACTAACTGTTACAATTTTAACACATGGGTCCATCACTGATTGGTGTTACTTTAAAGTAGTGTTATAGAGAAATAATACAATATCAATAAATTAAAAGCAGACAAATTTAGGTAAGAGATGGACTGCTTAATTTATTAAACTTATTGTACATTTGAAAATTCTAAAACTGAAAATTAAAGATGTGGCATATATGAAGGATGCAGTTTAAGAGCCCTGGTGTCTGGCTTCCTCTTCACCTGCATGTTCTCTCGGATTCTCTCCTCATTGAAGCTCTTGGCTAGGACCACAATTCCACGTTGCAGCTGGTATCGAAGGGCAATCAGGGCGGGTGTCCGCTTGTACTTCCTTGCTATGGCACAAAGAACTGGATCATCCAAGAGAACTGGAGTATCCTCATTAACACTAGAAGGAAAGACAAATCCCAGAAGTTTGTTGCCAGTTGAACACAAATGAAAATAGCCACAAGAGTCCAGAATTCTCAAATGTAGTCAGTGGACTCGCAGCTAATCATCCTCTGAGACCTTCCAGAAATGTAACCCCACCTGTACTGAGAGTCAATTCCAGAAATCTGACTGTTGTAGAACTAAGACTATGTTAACAATTGTGACTTATAGATGACTTCTGCTGTTTTTATTACCAAGTTTTATATCTCTGAGTTCCCAGTGCACCATAGGCAACCAGAATGATGTCATTCATCTTGCAGTAATCCAGCAGCTTGCTCTGGTTGAGATAAAGATGACATTCTACCTGTATATAAACAGAATAGGAGCATATAAAATTCCATGAAATCCCTCAGTAATATCAAAGAGATATTAAAGGAAAGGAAGCTGAATAAAAATAATCAATATTAGCATGGAATTTGAAATGAGAGTATCATCAATACCATGTCATGGTTTTTTTTTTAAATAAATTTAATATCTATTTTGGGAAGTTAAAAAGGTAACATTCCTGAGATTCAGTAACCCTGCAGGTCAGATCTTGGAGGCTAAACACCATTTTTTTTTTTTTTTACTGTGGGAGACATAACAAATTCCACGAATTTGTAGAGCTTTGAATATTGAATTGTAGATGAAAGCAAGGATTTGATCAAATATTAAATTGAGGTAAGGTCTGAAAGAGAACAGGAAGTTGTTAAAAATTTTACCAGTAATATTGAGTTAGTTTTTGAATCAAAAGGAGAATAAAGTAAGTACAGAGAGGGTAGAAAGGAGGGAGGGACACACACACACACACAGAAAGAGAGAGAGAGAGAGAGAGAGAGAGAGAGAGAGAGAGAGAGACAGAGACAGAGACAGAGACAGAGACAGAGACACAGAGAGAGAAAGAATAGAAAAGTATTGTCCTCTAATGATGGTGGTTATTATATTAATTCCTTTCACACAGTACTGACAATTAAATGAAAGAAATCAAAATGTAGCTTTTCTTAAAGTTGTTAAATTTGTTTGGACTTTATATCCAAATTCTTTTTACACTAATATATCAAGAAAGAAGAGTGAATAGCAATATTGTTATATATGTTAACATCAAAGGGGGGAATTTCACAGGTTTCATCCCTAGACAAAGAACTACAGTCAACTGATACTTCTGGGAAGAGGAGAATTAGCCTCCCTGGAATGAGCTCCTTTACTGCTTGTCCAATTTAGAGTGGTCAACCTTGAAACCACATTCACACAATTAATAAAGACAGACTCAAAAGGTTTGAAATCAAGAAAAAAAATAACTCAATTAAAAATGGGTACAGATCTAAACACAGTTCTCAGAAGAGGAAACTTAAATTGCCGAGAAACACTTAAAGATATGTTGTTTTCTTAGTCATCAGGGAAATGTAAATCAAAACTACTTTGAGATTTCATCTTACACCTGTCAGAATTGTTAAGATAAACAAAACAAGTGATAGCTCATGCTGGTGAGGACATGGAGTAAGAGGAACACTTATCCGTTGCTGGTGGGAGTGAAAACTTGTACAGCCACAATGGAAATCAGAGTGGTGGTTCTTCAGGAAGATGAAAATCAATCTATGTCAAGATCCAGCTCTACTACTCAAGGGCATATATCCAAAGGATACTTCATCCTATCACAGAGATACCTGCTTAGTCTTTCTATGTATAATAGTCAGAAATTGGAAACAATCTAGATGTCCCTCAACAGAAAAGTAGATTAAAAAATGTGATACATTTACATGACCGAGTATTAACTCAGCTGTCAAAAAAAGATGAAATAATGAAATTTGCAGGCAAATGGGTGGAACTAGAAGAATATCGTTCTGAGCAAGGTAACCCAGACCCAGAAAGACACATATGATGGATATTAAGTCAATGAAAATCAAGGTACAAGCCATAGAACCACAGAAGTTAGGTATAGAGTATGGGGGTAGAGGGTACAGATAGATATTGTTAGGAAAGGGAAACTGAGTATACAGTTATGGATGGACAACAGGGAGTTGGAACAGGAGGATCAAGTGGGGAGGCAGAGGAGAGAGGGTAATGAGAGAGAGAATACAGGGAACAGCAGCTAAAATTAAGGGCCATTTGCAGGGGAGAAAAGAAACCCAATACAGTAGAAACTTCCTGAAAAAAAAAATATATTTATATAAATATATATATGAGGGTGACCTAAATGAAATAACCAAATAAGAGGGGGAGACGGAGTCCTAACTGGCCATCTTTTAACACCAAATGAAGCTCCCACCACTAACTGATGTTGGGTTATATCTAATTGAATTGTTGGCCAAAGGGGTCCCACAGGAATTCCCAAACAACCCAGGCTGTTGCCAAGGCTATAACTTGCCTTTCACAAACTGACAGCAAGGCCTCACCTACGCAATTCACTGAGCCTTCACTCCTATGTTCTAGAATCTTTGGTACAGGAGGATTCTCTGAATGCCACCAAACAAAAAATATAAACACCAGCACAGGTGCAATCCCTTTGTTCTTTAGTGGTTTCCTGCCTGCAAGATATGCTAGAGCAATGGTGGCACAAAACTTGGGGGAGTAACAAATCAATATCTGACTTGACTTAAGTCTGACTCAGTGAGATTGAACCCACACCTGGCATTACTTGGTTGGTACACAACCTGAGACTAGATAGTCTAGGGTCCTAGGGTAAAGCCAAATGATACTGTTCTACCAAAAGAACATAGCAATAAAATGACTCCTAATGACATTTTCATTGATTAGTGCCTTAATCAGCCATCATTAGAGTAGTGTTTTCTTGCCGTAGATGGGAACAAATACAGAGACCCATAGCCAGGCATTGTACAGACAGTGAGAGACCTTGGGACACCTATCCCTAAAGGGGATATTTCTATCAAATCCCTTGTCCCAGAGCTCAGGGACCCCTGTGGAAGAGCATGTGCAAAGAGCATAAGAGCCAGTTGGGATGGAGGACACTAAGAAAACAATACCCTCTAAATCAAATGGATCAACATGCATATGAATTTACCAAGTTTGAGGCAGCTTGCACAGGGCCTGTGCAAGGCTGTACCAGATGGTGTCCTAGAGCAGAAAGAAGTAGACAGAAGCCCCATCCCAAACACAGGATCAATCTCCAATTGATAACCACTTGCAAGTAAAAATTTAGTTTCCTCCAAGGTATTCTCACTGGGGAAACAAACTACTCTTAAGGGTAGGCTGCACGCCCAGTAGTATATGGCCAACAGAAAGCAAATTCAGTTGTCATCTTTGGAGGTTCCTTGTCTCATAATGTCATGTTTTTTTAAAAAAATTATCTATCTATCTATCTATCTATCTATCTATCTATCTATCTATCTATCTATCTACCTATCTACCTATCTACCTATCTACCTATCTACCTATCTACCTATCTATCATCTATCTAATCTATTCATTATCTATCATCTGTCTATTATCTATCTATCTATAGATAAAATACATACCCCACAGGATCTTTGCATATATATTATGACTTCCAGTTTAGTGGTTTGTATGGATTTCTGAGTGTGCAAATCAGTGGGTTTCTTCTTCTAGTGCCTTTTCTTGGGCTGTTTTCCTTCTGTTAATTTGTTTTGTCATACTCTGATGTGTTAGTTTTCGTTCTATCTTATTTTATTTTATTATTATGCCTTAGAAGCCTTTTTGTTTTCTAATGAGAGATAGAATGGGGATGGATCCAGCTGGGAGGGAATGTAGGGAGAAATGTAGAGGAGTAGAAACTCTAACCAAGATACATTATGTGAGAAGGAAATGCATTTCAAATAAAAGGAAAAAAATCTTACCTTTAAAAAAAAGAGATATGGCTATGGCTAGCTTTACTAAATGATCAAATCTGACATCACTAGTTGCTAGATTATTTGAGTTCTGGTTTATTTGTTATTATCTCCAACTGCCTTCAGCTAAAGCTTAAAACTCCTAATTTTTGAGTTCCTTTGATCTAATACTCTAACTATATAGTATTGGATGAGAAGAGTTAATTTTGTTCTGTAGTAAGAGTGAATAGTTATTTCTATAATTTTTTTTTACAAGGCAAACACCAAACATACTTTATTAGCATGAAAAAGCAGCCAGAACAAGGCACAGCAAGCAGAAGCAGACGTTAGCAGTCAACAGGTTAGTATTGCATACAAATATAGCGTTTCTTTTCAGTAGCCTGGCAATAGCCAGGGGGTTGTAAAGTAACCTCTGCAGCAGCTGGCGTGGACCCAGGAGTGCTCACCAGTGGGCAACAGAGCACAGTGACAGACAACAAGAATGGACTTGGCTACTGTAGTGCAAATGTCTAGGACAGAGCTGAGAACTCAGTCCGACACTGGGGACGCAACACTAGACTCTGACAGTACTTCCCGAAGTGGTCACTCAAGCTGTATTACGTACTAGTCTAAGTGACAAGAAGGTGCCAAGGAATGTTGTTTACAGACATCATGGTTGTACAGTACCTTTAAATCTGCAATGTAGGTTTTCTGTCAAGAATTAACTGCACTAAAATGCTATAAACTGTACTTAAGTAGTTCGGCTATGAGCTTACAACAAAGAGATAAATACTGCTGTCCAAATGATTAATTAGAGTTTAAAATAACTCAACATCAGCAACCAGTGTAGTCACTATTATCTGATGTGTCTGGGCATCTTCTGGTCTCCTTTCCCTCTGGGTTCACAAACTTAAGGGCACAGGAAAAGATCCAGTTCTGATGAAACAATGTGTGGACTGCACTTGTCAACTTAGGAAAAAAATCCACTCGAACTCCAACTGCATGCCTGTCTGCAGTCACAGCGCTCGTCCCAGATGAGTACTGAGGGCTTTGAAACACAACTCTATTACTAACACTAAGTCTGAAGTTTTAAGAACTATCTTAGAGACCTTGCCTTACTTCCGAGTCTCTTTCTCTGAGGAGAAAAGGAGACTGACCATAGACCACATTGACAATGCACAATGCCCTGTGGCCAGAAAAATTACATTTTTTTTCTCGAAAAGGAAGGCAGTCTTTTCTTATTTGTTTTGGACTTTCAAAGCTTGATTTATAGTTAACTACAAACATTACTACTTTTGGAAGGTTATAGAAAAATTCTTAGAAAAAGTAATTTCAAACATTAGTCACACTGTTGAAATACTCATCCAATATTAATAATTTGTTCTTCAGTAAGAAATAGAATTCTTCATAGCAAATGCCACAGAGCTGCCTCACTCAGGCGTCACAGCCATCTCAAATCACACTGCTCACTAACTAGCTGTGTTTCTCCGGCCCTGGACACCCGCAAACCCTCTGTTGTTTCTAGGCACCTCTGTCTGTGCAACAGAAGATCCCACTGGAGAGAGACTAAAGACTAGGCTCACATTCTGGGTGGAAAACCCTAGCAGCCAACTCTGTGCCTCCCATGGGAATACTGTCTGATGCACGCGAGAGTAGACCCTGGGAATGCTCCTCGGGGACAGGGGTTACTATAATTTATTTTCAATGGGTTCATCAAAACATTAAACACATGTGTGTAGGTGTAGACACTTGCACTTGCCTATATTATAGACTATGATATACATTAATCATTTTAAACTAGTGATTCTTAACTGTGGGTCATGATATCTTTGGGTCAAATAATCCTTTCACAGGGGTCACATATCAGATATCTTGCATATCAGATATTTATATTACAATTCATAACACTAGCAAAATTACGAGCAAAATTATGAAGTAGCACCAAAAATAATTTTATGGTTGTGAGTCACCACAACATGAGGAACTATATTAAAGCATCAGAGCATTAGGAAGGTTGAGAACCACTGTTTTAGACACACTGATATTTGTATCATTATCCCAAATGTTCTAAAAGTTTAAATGTGATTTGTTATATAACTGATGTAAAAATATTACTTCTGTATTATTTCTTTGACATTTATATTTGAAAATAATATGTCATTATGTACTCAACACATCCATGTCACTTTTTTTTCCAACAGAGAACTCTTCCTTCCTTCCTTCCTTCCTTCCTTCCTTCCTTCCTTCCTTCCTTCCTTCCTTCCTTCCTTCCTCCCTCCCTCCCTCCCTCCCTCCCT